TGCAGGACCACAAGAAATATGGGGAAGCAGGAAAATACCTCTCCCACAAGGGAAAAGGATAGCTCCTCTTTATCCACACACAGTTCAATGGAAATCATGGAGATGTCTGATAAAGAATTCAGAACATCCATAATGGCAAAGCTAACAGAGATGGAAGAGAAGGGAGACAAGGAACTGCTGAAGAGGAAGGAGAAAGGAGTTGAAGAGTTCCAGGAGGTGAGGAAATTCATGCTAGATCTAAAAGAGGAATTTCACACTTTACAAAAGAATCAGATGGAACTGTTAGAGATGAAGGCTATAATACAAGAAGTCAAAATCTCCCTTGAAAGTATTAAAAGCAGACTAGATCATACAGAAAATAGAATCTCTAATGTAGAAGAGAAAATGGTTGGCCTAGAAAAATCCACCGCGAAGACTGAGAAAATGGCCCAAAAATTTGAGAATAATATGCGAGAAGTACTAGATACCATCAAACGTCCAAACATCCGGATAATAGGCATCCCAGAAGGTGAAGAGACTCATAAGGGCATTGATAATCTATTCCATGAAATCTTACAAGAAAATTTTCCAAACCTGGAGAGGCACTCAAAGATTCAGTCCCAAGAAATACAGAGGACCCCAAATAGAATCAACCCAAGAAGATCTTCTCCAAGACACATTATAGCCAGATTGACCAAAACCACAGACAAAGACAAGATACTAAGACTGGCAAGAGAAAAAAGGCAAGTTACCTACAAAGGGTATCCCATCAGACTAACGGCAGACCTCTCATCGGAAACAATGAGAGCGAGGAGAGAATGGGAAAATGTATTCAAAGTATTAAGGGAAAAGCAATTTCAACCGAGAATTCTGTACCCAGCAAGGTTATCGTTCATTTGGGAAGAAAAGACACGAACTTTCCCAGATAAACAAAACCTGAAAGAATTTACCAGCACCAGACCGGATCTCCAAGAAGTTCTTAAGGGAGTGCTATGTCAGTAAAATTAAATGCAGACACACAGAAATAAGAGTTCAGAAACTAAGAAAATGGGCAACTTAATTGTAGGGCCAAAAGCTGGAGTTGAGTATTACATCCCAGATTTCAATCTGGAACATCGAACCTCAACAGATACAGAAGAAAGATTAAGTACATGAGACTGAACTGATGAAACAGTATTCTACGACTTGACTAAAATATTGCTGCTTTTCTTCTAAGCTTTGTTGTCTGGTTTTAAGGACTTTTGTCCTGTCTTCAGCTATCAATAGATTCATGTTCCGACTATTTGAACAGAATACTAACCTGTTTCTAGGCTTTAAGTTTCAAAGAAATATCCTTACCAGTTCAAAACTGCTTTTCTTGAAACCATCGGCTGATCTTGCTATTGAAAGTAGTTAGATTACTTATGATATTGTGTGACCAACGAAATGTTGGGGGAAAAGGGATTGAAAACAACTGTAGACAGCAGAGATAGTGTAATAAGAGAGTGGAATAGGGCAGAGGGCTAGACATGGGGTAAAAAACATATATATGAAAGTAGAAATGGAATATTATGGATGATAACATGCATTATTAAGCCACTATATAGTATATTCTAGATGGGAAACCACATTTAGAATGTTGTGATGATGCTCAGGGAATGAATGTAAATTAATAAAAAAAAAATTTTCAGAAGAAAAAAAAAAGGCATTAGAAATACCTATTTGATGACTGCAGTTAAGCTATATAGCCCTAGTTAGGTGCTACTTTATAGTATATTCATTCTATTCACTGAGATTTGTTTATGCCTAAAGTCAGACTTGTGTTCACGGATATGTACATATCAGCTGTGCTTGCTATTGAAAATATTTAGATTTATTAAGATATTTAGTGAAACAATAAAATGGGGGAGGCATAGAAAGCAACAATAGATACCAGACACAGTGTGGGAGGAGGGTGGGAGATGGCAGAGGGTGAGATAGGGAATCAAAGACGGGGAAAAAAGGCAAAATATACAGAAAACAATAAATGGAAAATGATTTGTTGACAATAACACATATGTTGATGTGCTTGATTGAGCCAATATACAGTGTATTCTCAATGGAAAAATCTCATTTTGTATGCTATAATGATGTACAGTGAATGAATGTAAATAAATAAAGAAAAAAATATATTAAAAAAAAGTCATTGGAATTTTGATAGAGATTGCAATGAGTCTGTAGATAACTTTGAACATTTTGACAACATCAATTTTCTCAAACCACATACTTTGTGTCTTCTTCAGATTCTTTCATCGTCTAAACAATTTTCAGGAAAGCTCTTTCACATCCTTCAGTAAATTTATTCCTAAGTTTTTCTCAACATCTTTTGGAAATACTTCAATGGTAGTAGAAACACCCACTAATTTTTGTACATTATTTTTGTCTTCTGAAACTTGACTGAATTAATTTATCACTTCTAACAGGTTTTGTTGTTGTTGTTGTTTTTGTTTTTGTGAAGTCTTTAGAGTTTAGACGATTATTTACTTTTATTTTATTTTAATTTATTTTGTGCATTCAATCAGTATACATCACTTAGCTTGTAAAGTGAATTTATCCAACATGAATGTACTTGGTGCCACTCCAGTTCCAGATACTATATACATTTGGGTTGGTTCGTGTCTTAGCAATTCTGAATAATGCTGCTATAAACATAGGTGTGCAAGCACTTTTCCAACTGAGCATTCTCCTATCCTTTGAGTAGATACACACAAGTGGAATTTGCTGTGCAGAAACTTCTTAATCTGATATAATATCAGATGTCTATTATAGGATTATTGCCTGTGCTATTTAAGAAGTCTTTGCCTACCCCAATGTCTCCCATTTCCCCGTGCTTTTTACCAGTAGTTTTATAGTTTGAAGTCTTAGGTTTAGATCTTTGATCAACTTTGAGTCTTTTTTTTTTTTTTTTGAGAGGTTTTTGCTATAGGGCATGTGCACTCGCCAGAAAGACAGAGAGACAGAGAAACAGAAAGTGAGAAATAACCTCCCAGGGGCGATGGCCACGCCACAATTTCTTCTCCATTCTCCTCTCGGGATCTTGGGGATGCATGCACATGCACCCAGAGTGAGTTTAAGCTACTGGGTCTGGGACTTGAACTGTGATTGACTACATGGGAGTCCAGCGACATAGTCATTACACTAACTGCTGGTCCCAAGTCTATTTTTGTTACTGGTGAGAGATAAGGGTCCCGGTTCATCTTTCTGCAAGTGGAGACCCATTTTTTCCAGTACCATTTGCTAAAGAGGTTTTCCTTTTCCCACTACAATCACTGGCATCTTTTGTCAAAATAAGTTGGCTGTATGTATGGGGCTTACTTCTGGAATCTCTATTCTGTCCCATTGGTACACATGTCTGCTTTTGTGCCAATACCATGTTATTTTGATTATCACAGCTTTGTAATATATTTTGGGGTCAGAGGGGAAATTCCTTCTACTCCACTCTTCTTGAGCAGGATTGTTTTGGTGATATGGAGTCTTTTATAACTTCAGACAAACTCTATGATTTTTTTTTCTAAATCTGTGAAGAATATCTTGGTTATTCATTGGGATTGTGTTAAATATGTAGATTAATTGGGGTAAAAATTGCCATTTTGATTACATTAATTCTTTCAATCCAATAACATGGGAAGTCCTTTTGCCTTTTTTGTGTGTCTTTTTAAGATGTCCATACCTTTTTCTTGTAGAGATCTTTGACTTCTTTAGTTAGATTTAGCCTAGATATCTCATACTTTTTGTGGTTCTGGCAAATGGGATACTTTCTTCAGTTATACCTCAGTTTGCTTGTTCTTCATATATAGAAATTCTGTAGACTTCTGTATGTTGATTTTGTATCTTACCACTTTACACTTTACTGTATTCATTTATTACTTCTAGGAGGGTTTTTTTTGTGGATACTTTTGGATTGTCTTTATACATAATCATGTCATCTAAAAAATAGAGATAATTTCAGTTC